CTCGTGCTTCTTGGCAAGCACATCAGATATGCTCGCCAAGATGTAGACCTTGGCCTTGTCATTGGCGTTGATCCACCTGTCATAGACGTTCCGCACTGCCACAGTGGCGTTAGGCGCAAGAGCTTGAGGACAATCCTCTTGCAAGACGAACCTAAGATCATTTATCACGAGAATAGTGTTTAGATTCGATTTTCATTGTTTGTAATTCTCACCGTTAAGTTTTTGAGCGGCTAGGAGTGCAATAATGGAAGTAGACATGCTGAAAGTAAAAACAAACCTATATCAGTTTCATGCATTAGCCTTTAAACCCAATCATATTTTAGCAAAAGTAATTAAGCACCCTAACAGAATTGTTTTGCAACGACGCTTCAGTGATTTAGAGCAACAGCTACCGTAGGGCAGACAGGTACTCCTTCACTGAATTGAGACGTTCTCAACTAAATTTTACACCAGAATAACTCTTATTCCTATAAACTTTAGTCATCGTTTATTTGGTCAGAAAATTGCTAACTAAGTTAACAACTCCCCGTAAGTGTGACCCGTCATTTTCGGACCTCAGAGATCCACCCCAATAATCCCGTCGTAGGGAAGGAAAATATTGGAGCAAAACCTAAGAGACCCTTATCCATTTCTGGAGTTTGCCTTGGTTTTGATTCCATACAATGAACCCTCCGTAGGGATGGTTGCTCTAGGACGACATGCAGGTCATGTATGAAACCTCAAGGTGCAAACCAATGACGGAGACCGCAGGATGTGTTGTCCAACATCCTTCTCCCAGTTACTATGAATACTATCTCCATTCACCTCGATATTGAACCATGCAAATACCTTCCGTAGGGAGGCCGCGCCAAGGGCGACACGAGGCCGAGCATGGAACTCACAGTGTGACTATAAAGGAGAACGTGATAGAGAGAGAAAAGTATGTTATATATACTTTGTATATCAAATATATACGCTGTATATTACATATTCTCTTTAGCTCCCACTTAGTATTCTAAGACTAGGGTATATTACTTAGATAAATCCCGTCTAAGTGAAATTAACTAAGTGATTTTTTATTCGGCCCAATATAACTATTATATTGGTAGTTGTACAATAATGTTTTAGTTCATTAAACACTTTAATAAACCAACGACATTATTGCATGTATATAAAATATTGACTAATTCAATCCCCAGGTCGGTTCCCAAGTAGAGGTGTTCCCTTACGGTCAACTTAAATACATCAACCTAGACAAAACTTTCCTTAGACAGGGTTCCCTTATAGACAATATTTTATATTTAGTCTTTTATCATTTCATTTTAAACCTAGTTAAAATAAAATAAAAGACTACCCTCTAATCATATTAGAAGATATAACCTAAGGTCTAATTAATTTAAAACCCCTTTAAAATTAATTAACTTAGACCCTATGTTTGCATGCAATTCTTTATTATAGATTTTAATTTCTTTCTACCACATTTTATAACTCTTATAAAATTTAAGAAATTAAGACTATAATCATGCATTGTAAGCATACATTAATATAACAATTATATTAACCAAAGTAATGTCATGCTCAATGCAACTTTATTTTCATCTAATTAATACAACACTTATATTAATTATGAAAATGAAACATGCATTCATACATTATAACATTTATAACTATATGATGCATGACGATACATACATACTATATATCAAACATACATATTATGCATGTAACCTATGGTGGGATTTTAAAACTATATGGCATATAATATGCAATATGCTTTTAAATTAAATATACATTCACAATGCATAAGATAACTAAATAGCAAAGTTGGAACGATTTTTGGCACCCTAAGAAAGCAAAATAATACAAAAAGAAGAAAACGACTGCAATCGCCCTCGAACCGCGAACCGGGGCCACGAAAATGCGTCGAAAAACACCTAGGACAGCGCCTCGGCGCCTAAGGGCAGCGCCGCAGCGCCCAAACATGGCGCCATGGCCCTGCACAACGTCGCGACGCTACAATGCAGCACCATGGCACTGCTGCATAGCGCCATGGCGCTGTCTGCGCAGTCTGCTTCGTCTTCTTTGCTGTTTTCTGCAACTTTTTGTCCAATCTGACGCCACGAACGACTTTCGAGCGACCCGAACTTACAGAATCAATACAGAAACAATATGCCAAAAACAGTGGGCCCTTACATGATCAAATCAAAAAGAAAAACTCTATCTAAAAATGCCAAAAACCGGAAATTTTCCAACCCGCAAACCCATATTTCGAGAATATGAAAACACCCACCAAGAACACGGATTTTGATCCCAAAAAATCAGAACATAAACCTGGCTCTGATACCAATTGAAGGGATGTTTAGTTTATTGGATTTTGGACAATGCAATGCTATGAATTCAACAACAAATTTATTGAATATACATTTGTTTTTACATAAATACAAACTATGAGTTTAGGGCAACACACCCAACAAAGTGCTTGGCAATAGAGTATCTTTTGGATTTAGTGAATTTTGTCTGATAACGGGCCTAAAATATAGTAGACGGCCGATTCGTAAGGACACTTCTCCTAAGAGGCT